AAAAAAAAAAAAAAAAGAAAAAAACAAAAAGCCCCTCCAGCTGCTTTTTACCGGATTTATTGGAAATTGAACAAAGGGATACTTGACTTATATAGTTATTAAAGACGCTGGTAAATGGCGCTGTTCTAATAAACTGAATGCACAGTAACGGCGGACTTGCCACTGCCATTTATAACACTTCAATTAGCTGCTTTAAACGATCCGCCTCGCTCGTCCAATTAACGAAACACCGTTCCTTCATGCAACAAACACGCTACATTCTGCGAAAATCAATATACTTGCGGTAACAGCCGGTGGACAGTGGCACTGGAAGAAGTTAAAACTGATCGCCAGGGAGTAATTACAGAGGGGATAAGGAGCAGGAGATAAGAAAAATGTCGCGGCAGAACATTTTCCCACGGAATTTCACGGCTTCTGACAGGCGTATACTGTAGAGGTTTAAGTATATATATATATATATATATAAGTCACTTACAGGGTCCCCGTTGATGAACCAGCTGAGCATGGCAGCTGGTTTCGACTTCGCCGAAGTGCAATTGAACCGCACCACGTCACTGACTTGATAACGATGCCTTCCTGGTCTGCCAGTGATAATCGGCCCGTCTTCCGGCAACGCTGTTACCATATTTTTATTTTCTTTTTTCTTTCTTTCTTTCTATTAGACATGCATTAGACAGGACTCTTGGAAGACTGAGAAATTGTGTGAAAAGAAAGAAAGAGAGGAAGAGACGATGACACGATGGCAAATTGGAAAAGAGGGGACCGCGCGAAAGTTGGAGTTAATCTGTGTGCAGCACGCGATAAATTATGCGTTATTTGAGAGTTTAAATGGAACGGATGGAAATAATTATTTGTCACTCGACGCAGGCCTGGACAAATTAGTTCGTCTAAATTGTCGTTCCCCTGTTAGGGATACTTGAACTCTTGGTAGAATGACATTTCTTCGTCTACCTTTATACAAATTGATAGCTGATAGATCAATTCGTTGGACGAAGGTACCAGTGGAAAAAAATTTAAAAGAATCGACGAATCTGACATCTAATAATTTATCTCTTCCCATTGGTAGATCAAGGGAGGTAGTTATAAAGGGGAATTTCAGGAAGCTAAAGTTCCATATTTATTTTGACAAAAGAATAAAGAAACGAAGCGTTTGAAACAACAGTTCCAGGTTAAAATTAACTTATTTTTCTAAATGGTAAAGGTAATGGAACTAATGCCAGGCCTTCGTGGACCTGTCTGTCACGCTGTGGGTGGAGAGAGGCGAGGAGGACCACGAGAAAAGACGTTTGATATTTTTGTCAGGGCGCAAAAAACATTTCCCGATGGTTGCCGGCGGGGAAGATCAACTGATGCAACGATCTGTAAACGTTTCTTACCCACGACCAGCATGTCCGAGTGATCGGAGACAGTTTGGAAGGACGGCGCCTCTGCTGACACCTCGCATCTGTATCTTCCGGTGCTCATTAAGTTCACCGAGTAGAGAACCACCGATCTCTCCGTCGAATTGTGAATCTGGAAAGCAAGAAGCGTTCCCTCTCTGTAGCGAATTAACCCGCTGTAATTAACCCTCTCTGCTATTCCTCGAATCGGCTATCACGATCGTAGGTTAATAGCGAATTCTTGCCATCGACATTCTTTCGCGTTGAAGAGGTCGGAGAGGTTAACCCTCGGCGTGTATCAATATCTAGTCACTTGGAGAACAATATTTTTTCATCAGTTTCATTAACAGCAACGTGACCTAGTAATCATGCTATGATTCGATCTTTATATAAAAAGAAGAAGACTGTAGAAGACTGGTTGCATAATCTCAATTACAATTAATGGTAATTAAGTCTGTTTATAAGAGACCAAGTCCAAGATGATTGTTTTATTAAAGAAAGTCCATCTTTAGAAGAAAATTTCCAAGATGTCTGAAATGAAAATAGAAAGAGCAGTCAAAGGCTCTAAGAGCGTGTGATCGGAAAAAATTAGCAAACGATAACTTTCTCTTGCAAGAGTGGCACAGGTGTGTGCCAAGTGTTCTCAGCTGTAACATTTTGTTCGTGAAGGGTAGCAAAAGGATCGGAGAGGGATTTGTTAAAACGGAAATGTGCGAGTCGATAGGACGCGATAAAAATGAGAAGCGACGCGCTTTAAATAGAATGGGATCGGCGAGGCGAGGGGGGGTGCACTGGCACGAGACCCGGTAAAAAAATCAATAGAATGTGATTCTTACGTTCGCCGTGACACCTGGCAGCTGAAAGACGAGCACCGGCGGCCTGTCCTGCGGCACGTATCGATAGAACTCGTTCCCGTCTTTGTACCATTTCACCGAATACAGTGTCTCGCCGTCCAGGTTGAAGTTGCACTCCAGCCTGATGTTCTGGCCACGGACCACGTGCTGGGGCACCACCAGCTCCAGCATCCTCAACGCCATCGTACCTGATACAAATAAAACAATTGTCAACAAAGACTTAGAATTTTTATTAATTTGGGGAAATTCCATTCGCTGGCGCAGGGATTTTCGTTGATTTACAGCTATCAGGTTAAAGTTCAGAGAGTTTCGCTTAATTTGGGGCCTTGGCCAATCAATTTGCAGCCGCATCAGTTCGAAATTCTGCTAATTCAGAATTTTATAATAATTCGGAATCTTACCAATTCTCGGAGTTCCGTCAGTTTTGCATTGGAAACTGCGTCAATTTGGAATTCTGCTGATTCGGAATTTCGGTGATTCAGTGTGTGCTTGTTAATTTCGGAGAATTCTTCCCCTCTCCCCCCTCCCTCCCCCCCGTTGAAATTCAGGTTTTCAACTATGCAAACGACGCAGTCTACAATACGATTATTAAATGTATAGAAACGCACGAACGTGATTATTAAATAAACGTGTGTAATATTGCAAACGAACGCAATTATTAATTATCCAGGACTGGTAAATTAACAGAAGAAAACAGGAAGGGATTGCATCTCTCTAGCTCGCCGTCGTCCATCTCGCTTTCCGTAATAAAAACAAACCTATCTCGTGCTTATAAATCTCGCGTCGTTTCTAGAAGAAGAAGAAAAAAGAAGGACAAGATGACGAAGGGGACTAACAAATTCTCGGAGGTTGAAGCGGGGGAGGGAAAGCCGAGGACTGACAGCGATAATCACGATGGCCAATGAATCGTTCGACGTTGGAAAAACGCGGAGCCGCGTATTCTCACGCGTGTTTGCGCGCACGGTATTTTTTTTTTTTTTTTTTTTTTTTTGTTCCCTCGCCGCAACGAGAGAACAATTCCACCAAGAATTGCCTTTTAACCTTCCGCTGATCCTGATGTCGCGTTTTCCACGCGATACTTCACTTAAAATTGTTCGCCTCGCTCTTACGTAAGTGGCGTCTCGTTCGAGAAAAAATTAGACAACGTGACAAATTAAACGAAACGTGTAATCCCACTGTAAATTAAAGAGCATACAATTTATATCGCCGTTTTGTAACATCTATGACGTGCTGTTTGTACTGTTGTAAATAATTTTTAGGGCGTTTGTATTTTTTTATTTTAAATAATATTCGATCAGTTTTGTAATATGTTTGGTCATAATGCAACACAGATATATAATGCGAGTTTAACGTTACGGGAGATTATATGACGAAAATTGGTTGTTAATTAGGATGATCGTTAATTGAATTTACTTGGAAGCCACACTGGCGAAGAACAAATGAATTGAAAAACAGAGGGAAAAAATGATACTGTTACAATCGTCATATTTGCTAAAACTGAAATTTGTAATAAATTATCCTGTTCATTAAATGAGAAATATCTTTTATCATCGAGATATTCTTCTCTGGAAAAATCGTAGTTTCTTCGTGTATACGAGAAAACGAGGAAAAATATATTTTTAGAAAAAAGTGAGAAACATCGCGCAGTCGTACGTCATACGAAGGCTTGACGTTTCTCTGACTTTATGGCACCAAGTGCTGTTTCAATATTTTATCCCAATCAAAAATTATAGTTCGAAGTGTTCTTCAACGCCAGAAGACTTTCAATAGCATTAAAAATACACATGCATGTATGTACATTTACTTGCATTTCCACGAAAAGAAAAGAAGAAAAATTGGTTGGCCTGCAATTTCGCGTGTAAAATGACAAATAAACATCACGAAAAGTATAATTTTCGCGTGGTGTTCGATATTAAATTGTAATTATTTTAATTGGTAATTAAAGTACACGACACGCAAATGGTAATTATTGTTGTGTCTTCGGAATTCATGTTACACGGATCACTTTGAATAAATTATCGATTCGATATTTTGAATGAATTTTCGAACGTTAATAATTCATCGACGTACGTATGAATAATCGTTTCGCGAAATGAAGGGATACGTTTCAAATTAATTGAAGACAGATCAAATTTCTCAACGCTTTGTAAGAATTGAGAATTCGAAAACGACTGTAGTGCTACTGCATCGTAAAAAAAAAACACCAAACTTTTTTACAGATACTTGTAAAATTATAATAAAAAAAAAAAAAGTATTGATCAAATATATAAAATACATTGAAATGTTGTAGTAATGAAATATTGCATTAATATGATACATTGTAATGAAATTATACTCTAAATATTATGATAATAAGTAGCAAATAAATAGATATATTTATACTGGCTGGATTTCAGGAGACACGAGCTATTCCAATTACATAATCCAAGTGTAAACCCGATTCGGATATCAATTTATGCAGCTCGCGAACTCGTCGCTGGCCAACCTCTCACTGGTGAGCGAGAGAGACAAGAATTGAAGAAATAAAAGGATAAAGAGCTGTTCCTGTCGCTTATCTCGCGACACGCTTCGATTTCATTCCCCCCGTCGACGTTTTTTTTTTTAGCCCCATTACTTTTAAACGCGACCGGCATTAACTACGAAATCGGCCGACATTAAGGACACAACTCGGCAACAAAGAGAATTATCTTTCTTTCGGTGGATAGGAGGAAGAATCATCGTTAGGCTCTAGACAATGAGAAACGGAGGGGATCTCCTTGTTTTCGTAAATTTTGATCTGAAAGCACAATCCCCTTTTATTCTAGAACTATTGTTCTCCACTCAAGGATTCTCCAAATGATGGTTTCGACTTTGTAAAGATGCATTTAAACAGAGGGAGCAAGTGTAAGCTTCATGTAAACGATCATTGACCAATTTGCTCTTTCATCGGGCTAAGATGCACACAGAATACTCGCTCGTACTTTTAATCTTGCCAAAGCGAGAGGAAAAATGAATTCGTTGAAAACACTTTTTTTTTATGGCCCGTTGATAAAACAGTATATCATCATTTACCATTATGACTCAACAATTAAAAAAAAAAAAAAAAAAACACCGAGGACCATCGAGAATAAATAAATCAAATTAAATCGAAATACTTTTCATATCGCTGAAAATAAAAGTCAAGTACCTTTAACTAGGCGACCTACTTCACCGACTGTTGATAACGATTTGAAATTTTCTAAACGAATTCCGTCGATTGTTTCTATAGCAGCTCTCGAACAACGTCTTTCTCTGAATTACAAGGAAGGAAAAGATCAAGAAAGGCTAGAATGAAGACATGTGGTTCTCGGTGGGAATAAAAATGGCATTCCTCAAAGATAAGAAAACAGAGATATCTAACTCGGGCGGGAAAGTCGCGTGGGCGGAATGGAAAAACTCTTGTCCCTGCGATTGTCGAGGGTCGTGATTCACAGCTACAAAAACCGATCCAATTATACCGTGAACCCCCGGGGCAGACCGCTTTTATCGGCGTGGCTGTTGCAGCGACCGAAGCGCCGCGCAGTGGCCGAATGCGACAACAAACGGGATTCTTCCGCGAGGCAAATTGTCGCACCAAATTGCATGCTATTAATTTGTGCCCTTTCGCTGTTGTATTTTTTAATTTATGCTCTAAATTGCTATTACCCGAGCAATTGATGGCCGTGGAAATCTAGATTTACTTTAAATTTACATTAATTCCCAACGAACTGAACGAACGTTTTGTTCCTTTCCAATTTAATTAGAATGAGGAATGTTTCTACTCGACTAAAATTAGGGGAATTCTTACGGGAAATTCCCCGGATCTGATGAGAAGTTGTAGAGAAGAAGGTACTCTTTTAGGATAATAGGATTAAAATTCAGATAATCCCTAAATGTATCTGTCCAATGTGAAGAATCCACGTGGAAATTTGAGGAAGATGAGGGTCCACGAAAGAGCGTGGTAATCCCCACATATTTGTCATCAGATGGTTGTAAATATTTACGCATTTATAGGAAACGTAAATGTTCAGAAATTTGTACAATTCGTACAACGTGCGAACAATGACAAGAAAAGTACGTTTACGAGAAGATGGTCAAGCAGAGGAATATGGATTTTTAATCGCATAAAATAAAGGTAAGGGCACATAATTCGTCGAAAGTGTCACGTACACAAATGAGATCATATAGCACAGCGTGACAGTGAATGAAAGAGGACACTACTCCCATTACCTCTGTGTGTTGTCCCGCTGGGTTTCTTCTCATCTCTGCAGAGTATTTCGCTCTGACGCTTGGACAGTGTAATGAAACTCTACTTAAATTGCATTCCTCTAGTCATATTCCCGAAATTACGAATCTGCATAAATATCCGCCTACGCGGACCAATCCTTGTCACGAACAAAATTCAAATCTGTCATCCACATCACCTACGAGAACACTATACACGCAGGTACAAGCCGATAACTTCCAACCTGCGCTCTGTTTAAAATCCCAAATCTATCAAAAATCCCAGACTCGCTATTAAAACCTGCCAACCTGGATTATACGTCGCGAAAGCGTTGCACGACGCAAGTTTGTTGATTGGTCGAGCACGAACGATCCGGATATGATCGAACTGGCTGGTAGAGGCTGGACTGTATTTAAAACCCCCCGGGGGTGTTTTCCTCGCGGAGTGCCCCCCCCCCCCTCCTCCCTCTCTTCCCCCTCTAGCGAAAGCAAATATTTTCCCATCAGGCTGGAAATCGCTTGTTACGTTGCGCCGTAACGGTGTGGGTTCTTTCGCGATCGACAAAGGGTTGCCTTTTCGTTTGAATCCAGGGTCGATGGGGGGTGTGGTGGCCGGCGTGACGGTCGAAGAAAAGGTTGGAGAGAAAAAGAAAAGAGGGTAGAGATCGCGGTGGGCTGTGGCCGTGGCTGTTGTCCGAGGGAGATAGCGGAGGCGAGTGGTTATTAAAGGAGACAGAAAGGGAGAGGACGATAAGAAAGAAGGGCAGGGCGGACGTGAATGGTGATGTAAATGGCGTGGCCGTCGCCGGTGAAAGGGAAAAGGGAAGAAAACCGTGATAAGTGTGAAGACGACGGTGGAGAGAATGAAAGAGAGATAAGAAGGCTCGATAACGAGCGGGAGAGTGAAAAGACACGGGAAGGGTGGCGAGGCGGGAAGGAAAGAAGAGAGAGAGAGAGAGAGAGAGAG